GAAGGATGATGGCTGTAGTTTTGTTATTGTTTGCTTTTGGTGAAGATTGCAGTTCTGTTGTATGCCCAAGACACTGTGGCTCATTTGACTGAAATGCATGCAATGGGGATGCAACTTGGTTGGCTCGTTTGGCAGTTTCAAGCATTCCTTTCATCATTCTTATTCCTGTTGGTTGCCCTAGGACCAAACCTCAGACCTAGACCCTAGATCGTGTGGCTATTGTTCCTACGTTACTCTTACACGTATGTAAGTGTCTTGTTCTGTTTGCAAAGACACTTGGGTTTGCTGTCCTTCGCACTCTTAGATTTTGGGTTCAGGCTGCAGTTATAGTCTCCCTTAAGTAGATAGAATATGGGGTATGTGGGGATCTGATTGTAATATACCCAAAGCCATATTCTATCTACTTAAGGGGGACTATGTCTTCCTCCAAGAAATGTTGCAATAAGCTTTCTGTCAGCATCTCGGGCCTTTCAATAAGGCTGGCCTTGCGAGCTATAGTCTAAACTCCTTAAAAGGGGGTTATATAGGGGATTCTATAGGGGTCTACTATAAGTGTTACTAAGGGGATACTAGGAGTTTAGACTATAGCTCATTTGGGTTTAGTTGTAGTCTTCCAGGCTAAAGCTTCCGTGGATATTCAGATGACGACGATTTGCACGGTGAGGGAGCGATCTAGGCCATAAGGGTACATCTTACTGTATTCCCTTCGCCGGCATGTCAAAAACACTCTGGTGTGTCAGTGCTGGTAGACATGCGTTTTCAAGGGGTGAACCCTTGTGAAATATACATCCAGAGAGTCAATGTTCACCTAATGATGACCAGCAGGATTGGAGAGGAAGCCCAAAAGGATTGATGCCTCATTGGTCGGTTGATATTGATGCTTATTCTGGCCGGATTGAAGCCGCGAGTCACAATCACAGCCCCAACTAAACCTCAACAATCGCGAGGCTTGCCATACCACCTGACATCCATGGAGGGCCGAGAGCCAAGCGTCAGGTGTCACCTTGCCTTTGGTCTGGAGCATTGTTGGATAGGATTTTAAGCTTTATTGAACTGAAGCCGCATAAGGAAAACAAAAATGCGTTTGCAACAGTACCCGCAAAAAGAACCGGCATTAGCGTTTAGGAGCTTATGATTAGGGACGCCGAAGCTTCAAGAAGACGTCAGCTGCAAAATCATTTCAAAGCAAGCCCAACAGAAGGGTATCACCAAGCCGTTTGGAAGAACTTAAAAACTCTAAACCCTAAATAGCAGCTTCCATTTTCTTTTAAATTATCCCTGCAATCCCTACATAACCCTATATAACCCTATATAACCCTCTATATCCCTATAAAACCCTATATAACCCTATATAATCTCTCTAATTTAGTGGCTCGTCTCCACTGGGCAAGTGATTTGCAAGCGCTATGACTAACTTGTTCATGGGGATCAAAAGGGTTTTTTTGGGGGGGACTTATTAAGGGATTTTCTACAAATCTAGTCCAGGGCTCATGTAAGCATCAGCACATCTTTGAGAGTCGCACCCCCAAGTAGCCAGTAGACCAAAAATCTGCAGGGTAACATATTTCTGTGTTTTTCGAGCGCAGAAATCAAGGTTGTTTTTGGGTGTCCCTGTAACCTGAGCATCAGGTGAATCCTAAGGGTTCAATATCCAGATTTGTGAAAGCTTTCTATGCGAATGCCTCAGAGCTGATTGGCCTGCTTATGCGCTCAAAACAAGAATTCGGTTTGGGTGTAGGCTTTAGGGATGATAGTTCCCTGCGACCCCGCCTGGGGTCCCAAACATAGCGGCTCTTTGTCCTGAGCCATCAAAGGTCCGCTGCGGATCGAAGGTACCTGACAAGGGCCGAGAGAAGGGATGGTGGTCTGTTTCGTCACTCCCTCTCTTTGCCCAAAATGTATAGGAGATGAAAGGTGCCTTCGGCACAGCCTTAGCCATTCGGCTGCTGGCACTTCATCGGAAACATCCACGAAAAACTTCAGGAAGCTCACTCCTTGAAACGCCGGATGTCAGAGGTGGCCGAGCCATAGCGGAGAACAGGAGTCTCGGAGCCGGTGTAGCCGATCGCCTCCAAGAACAAGCGAAGATCCTTCACGCGATCCGAGGAGCCTCGGAAAGTGAGAACGTAGGAAAGCAAGTACTTCTTCAAGCTCTCATCCTGATAGGAAGCCTGAACCAACTCTGCGTACGAGTAGTTCAACTTTGCCACCTTGGGCAACTCACACAACGTTTCGCTCCATCGGGTCAGCGACGGGATTCCCTCAGGAAGGGCCGCTTGCTGGATGCCTCCGGCATCTGTCTGACCACTCTCGGACGTACCCATGGGACCAGAGCTGTAGCCTCCAGAGGTCTGAGGATACTGGACTTGCTCCCACCCCTCCGAAGGCGCCGGGCTTCGGCGTCGCTTGGAGGCATCAGACATAGCCCCATGATCCTCCACACACTCTGTGCCGAAGTTCTGACGGAGGATGGCGAGCACCTCGTCTGTCTTGCCAGCTTCGTCCATGTTGCGCAGGAGGTCTTGCAGCTGGGTAGAGGCAGAGGTGGAGGAAGAAGTCTGAGATGAGCCGCTGGTCATCTTGGACTGCTTGGGTGCCATGACGGGCTACGAAGGGCACAGGTAAGGACTAGGGGCAACCACAAGAGGGGAAGGACCTAAAACCAGAAGTGGCTGCGTGATGCAAAGACATTTGCTCTGCTGCGAAACAACATCGTCCTGACACAGAACACACAAACAGATTGCGTTGGGAAGTACGGCACCTAATACACCCCTACAGGAACCGTAAACTAAACACCCAACTAACCCTCTTAATTACGGATTCTCTTGAATCACCCCGACTGCATCTACAAAGCGGACTAAGGCGGACTGTGCTGAGCCTGGCTGTCTGGTTGTTGGTGCAACTTACGCTGAGCTCTACGGTTGCGGTATGCTTTCTTTTGCTCGAGGACGGAGGCCTCTTCGGAGAGCTGGTAAGATCCGAGCTGCAAAGCTGCACGCAGAAGATCTGAGGGATCGGCCTGATCTTTTGTTAGCCCATCAGCTATCATAAGTTCAGTGGGAGCCCACCTAGTACTAAGACCCGTCCTATCAATGCACTGCTTGATGATAGTGAGGTCTATGGAGACCCTCTTATCCTCTGCCTTGCCTGGAGACGACGGTGAGTGAATGGCATCGTACAGACTCTTGCAGTCGGTGATTCCCGTTATGGGAGTGGAACGCAAATACTCGGCACAATCCCTGATATCAAAATTGGGGTTGTTCACTTCGGCAATCATAAGAGATAGCCATTCAGCCACGCCGCTCGCTGTGACGAAACTTTGCGTTTCCCCAGCTAAAGTCGAAGCTACAACCCTGGACATCTTGTATGACTTCCAAGTAATGGGGGACCATTGCGCGGGGAGTCCCTTTTCTAGGTTGCGATCCGTAAAGGCGACTACATAACCGGCTTGAGTCTTATTACCTGAGGCATTACCAAACCCTGCATCCGAGTGGAACACAATGCTCAACTGATCCCAGGGGATGGATTTAACGGTGATTCCTACATCTGCATGCTGTCGAGCCCGATGCACACCCTGGTTAGTGTAGAGAAGGTCTCTCACCTTTGGCCGGGGAAAAGCCTGCTGTGCAAAACTGGCTTGAACACACAGATCCGGGCGACTCTGGGAGGAGAGCCAGTTCATGGCCCCGTTGACTGCTCTGAGAGCACTGAGCTCCCTCTCTGTGGCAAAATCCTCTTTCTGCCGCTGCCTTTCCTTACTCAACCCGATGGGCCGGATGTGCTTGGCATACTCCCTCTGATCATAGGAAATTTCATATGATGAGGGGTCTTGGGTATACATAACACCGCAGAATTCTCCTGAACCCGTCCTCCACTTACGATAGGGGAATCTAGATCTTAGCTGGGCGATAGCGTCTAGATATGGCTTACCCTGGCCCCCGGTGATAGTGTCGTCTACGTGTGCCCCCATGATGCCGGTCACCTGTCCAGAGGGCTCCCGGAAGAGGTAGAGACAAGCATCAAAGGCACTGCGAGTGAAGCCTGCCTTGCGGGCTTGGGCATCGAATTCCTGATACCACTGGGCAGGGGCGTTGTTGGCTCCA